TATACTATTTTTCTGCTCGACGTAGCCGGAATGTGGCAACTTTGTTTAGCGCAGCGGCCAGAAAGTTGCCACTTTCCGCCCGGAGGGCAGAAAAAAAATTTTTTTTGATACAAGAAATTTCACTTATTTCAACAAAATTAATTCTCTTGCTTTAAGAAATACGTTTTTTGATCCAAGAAAATTTATTCAAGTCAAAAAAATCTTGTTGTTTTAAGAAAATTCAGCCTCGAAGCTCCAAAAAATTTAGTTCTTGATAGAAGTAAATTTTCTTGTCTTGAAAAAATTTCTCTCTTGCTCCAAAAAATTAAATATAAAGATAGAAGTAAATTTTCATTAATATTTTTATTGATTAACATGTCAAATGGGAAGATCAAATAACATTGAATTATTTTTCTTCATTTAATATGTATAATTGCACGCTAAAATAATATAAAATGAATATCAAATATTCAACAGAAAAATTTTCTCAAGGTGAGAAAATTTTTTTCTCAGCTGAAGTAGATGGCGATGCTTCCCTAAAGTATCTAAAAATCTTGATCAAATATAAAAATTTATTGTTATTGTTATTAGTAAATTAGTAAAATAATGCTATTAGCAAGAAATTGCAATTTTTTGACAACAATGAGAATTAAAAATAAGAAAAGAAAGGCTTAATATACTATTTTTCATTTTTATTAATTTTAGTGTGATAGATTGTTTATAAATGAAGAATTATAAAAAGTATAGTTTCTCATAATTATCTATCCTAAAGATTCGTGTCGACCAAGCGAGGTTAAGTCGGCCATATTGATTGTAGTATTTTAATAATGAGAATACCAAGTTTTTTTATATCCAGTAAACTTATTCCTATGGATAGTAAACTTTGGTATTCTTATTTTAGGAATACTTTTTTTTTAACCACAGGGAAAAGTTTTCTAGGAGGAAAAAAACTTTTTTTTTCAGTGCGCAATAACTTTTGAATGAATGAACCGATTTTCATGTGGTTGGTGGCGTTCGACGCAGTTTTCGTATCTTCCTGATAAATTTTTTAGTTTGAATTAGTCGAACTAGGAACTTCGAAGTAATTCCGAAAAAACACTTTTTTTGGTTCTCTTTCGACAACGATAACTCACGAACGAATCAACTGATTTCAACCGGGCTGGTGGCGATCGACGTATTTTTTTTAAGTTAAGAGCTAATTATTTTTTGGAATCGATCGGTAAAGCCGTTTAAAAGTTAATCCAAAAAAATCACATTTGAAAAAAATTTTTTTGTAGTTTTTTCGAAATTTCTCAAAATCTACCAGTTCGAATCGGTCTAAATTGTATTCAAATCTAAGTTTGGTCAAGCCCTTTCGAATAGTGCCAACCGCGATGAAATCGGTCAAGCCGTTTAAAAGTTATAAGAGGTTCACATACAACCACACACAAACACACAAACATTCGAGAAAGCTTCCTAGGACCCCAAAACGTCAACATCCGTTGAAAACTCGTTTTTCAAAAAACGGGGTAAAACCAATAACTTCCCGATTTTTGAAAATTTTCAATTTTCTTAGCGGGAAGTCAAAAATTTTTTTTAAATGTGGTTTTTTTGGAATAACTTTTAAACGGCTCGATCGATCAATTCTAAAAATTATTCAGCTTTGGACATTAAAAACCACGTCAATCGCCGCCAAGTTGGTCGAAATAAGGTGATTCGTTCGAGAGATATCGTGAACGAAAGAAAACCGAAAAAAGTGTTTTTTCGGAATTACTCCGACATTCCTAGTTCGATTAATTCAAATTAAAAAATTTATCATGAAGATATGAAAACTACGTCGAATGCCACCAACCGCGTGAAAATCGGTTCCTTCATTCAAAAGTTATTGCGGTCTAAAAATTCAAAAAATAGTGTTTTATTAAATCGCTATCAGACTTTTGAGCTCAAAATACTTCAGTCAAAAAAATACTTACTTGAATTATTTCTTCAGGCATGTTAGCAGCGTTGTAGTTATAATTTTGAAAAGTTCAACTATGGATTATCTAAACTCAACCTGAGGCTTATATATTATATCTAATTTGCTACTGCGCATGATATTTATGCGCAAGAATTTGTTGGAAGTCAAACAAAAAAGTTTTTTATTTTTATGGAGAGTAGGGCAGGGATGGACTTAATCGACTATAGTTTAATTAACAGCTCACGCTGAAAAACGTGATAAAATAACAAAAAATTTTATGTCACATTAGCGATAATGTTAGTATTAATTTCTGTATCACATGATTTTTGATAGTTTTTTTCTATTGAGTTCCTTAGTAAAAAATAAATTAATTAGTGGTTAATGATGATGTGCGATAGATAAATAAGTAAGTACGTAAAAAAATAAAAAGTGATAAAACGACTCTTCATTAAGGTTTCTTCCGTAGTGATTAGATTTATTGTTCGAAAATTAATTAAGAATCATTAAGACTTTAAGCTATAAAATTTGTAATGAGCAACGAAAAAATTAACCGGTGATAAATAATTATTTTTCGAGTAGGGCAAAACTGCTTATACGTTTGTAATTTCTTAACAATATCGTTAAGAAAGACCTTAGTTTCAAATCCAGATTTCTCAATGTTTTTTTTTATGTAATTGCATTGTTTAAAATTATTGTAGATCATTTATAGTCTAAATAACTATATAATAATTTATTTATACTTTATCGAGTTAATTATTAAATTTATTGCTATTAAAGTTAATTAGTTAAATTGTATAAGTAAAAACAATGATTAAGGTGTCCTATAAAAAAAAATTTAACAATATTGATTTGAAACACGATAAAAAAATTCAAAAATTCATAATGACTCTTATAGTGTCAATAATGGGGGCTTTTACCTTAGTATATTGTAATTAATATAGTATTCCTGGCGAAGAAATAAATAAATATATCTACCGGCTCTATTATGAGCCCGATAAGACAAAAAATGAGGTGAACCGTGAATAAAAGCTCAAAGCTGCATACACGAAGATGCATACAGGCTGATGAAAAACAAACAGTGATGGAGGTGCCGTT